GATATTGATTCAAAATATGGAATCAATCTCAGATATAAGGATAGTTACAGGAAATCCTCTGTTTCCTTGCCTTAGTCTTATATAACGAGTCCCAGTGTTGCTCTGCACCAGCCATAGCAGAGCAACAATGGGATCTTGTGAGGTTTTGCTGAGCTATATTATTATTATAAAAATCCCAGTATATTGTGTGTGTTACTGCATTGTCACATATCCAGATAAACTGTTGTGACACAATTTATCTGGACATATTGTGTGACACCAGGATAGTGATACGTATTGTATTAACAAATTCTTGCCAATTCACACACCAATAATTTACATTTTCATCAACTTCAGCTTCTTCTTCACTGAGCTCCAGTGTTCAAGTTGTATTTCCAGCCTAATGTCCTTTTCCTCCAAACATACGTTTTTTTGTGTCCCTTACAGCCTTGATCTTGTACTGAATTTTCACGTCTATATTAGGAGTTGCGACAGAGGTGTGAAATCAAATATTTTTAACATATAAAATCTTAAACTTTGATATTTTACATAATTTACCATGTATTCTGTATTTAAAAACAGAGAATTAGTTTAAATGTTGACTCTTGACAATAAAAAATACTCCAGTTGCAATTCCCAAACTGCCCACACAGAGACCGACTCCACAGTAAATATCAGGCCCAAGACTTTGATTCTCTTTGATGATTTCTGTTTCTGTAGAAAAAGTAAGCGAGTATTTTAATTATCTAGGAAATACTACTACAGTGTTGTTTTTTTTCAGGATGATATATTAAAATAACTTTTTACCCCAGATTCTTGTTTTAGGAGTCTCCAGTGCTGGATGCTCCACGGTGCAGGAATAAATGTCCCCCTCACTCGGTGTGAACCTCAAAGTGGAGAACAGGCAGAAGGTTTGGTCCTTATTTGGATGATATTGACCAACCGACACCCCCTCTGAGACTGGGTGTCCATTTTTAGTCCAGCTGACTTTGACTAAAGGCGGATAGAAATTATTCACAAAGCACACAAGGCTGTTTTCCATTTCCAGTTCTATCTCTCTTGATGGGAAGATCATGGTGTCTGGGGGGTCTAACAAAGGTCAAAGGAAAAAACTATTTTCATCAACATTTTAGCGATATTGTTAAAACAAAAAACTAATGTTGAGCTATGTTTACCCTCTTTCGGTGGAGATTTATTTTTATATTGAAACATTCTTTGTAGGGCTGAACACCATTCCTTGTTATCCAGAGCATCTTTAAGGATACTCAAACCTATTAACACCTGCATGGGATCTGGATCAATGAAGACGGGTACGGTGATTACGACCTCCTCTCTTTGAAGGTCAACGTACAATATTTCCTCACCATCAAAATCAAACTGTACCACAGTGGTGCCGTTCTCAAAGCAGCCCACAAAATAGGTTATTTCATGGGGAACTGAAAAAGAACAATACAGCAGAATTGACACTTCACCTTTACATGTACATCCTATTTCCAAATTGGATTTTGTAACTGCTGACATATAATGCTAGTGTAATGAATATCAAAGCACTCAAGATAAACGGCATTTAGCTCTCATAAAGAAACATGTAGTTAAATATACGCTTCAATCAAGGTCTTTCTTACCATGAGAGGCGACATAAACCGCATTAAGAAAGAGGATAAGTAATGCAAAGCACTTCATGTCTGATCAACAGCTTTTCCCTAAACTTTTGTCTGCATTTAGCCTTTTTCTGTGGGTTTGGCCATTAAGGGAGGGGACAGCTGAACACGTGACAACAACAGTTAGGAGGGAACTGTATTAAAAGTTGAGCTATGTTTACCCTCTTTTGGTGAAGATTTATTTTTATATTGAAACATTCTTTGTAGGGCTGAACACCATTCCTTGTTATCCAGTAGGGCTGAACGAATTTAAGAAAAAATTGAAATTGCATTCAGTATAAATTAATATGTATTTAATTATATGACCAATGAATTCAATTAAGATAATGCAAGAATGAAAACTGGTGGCAACATATTTCAAATGCAAGACTGTTTATTCAAGCACCTAAGAAACAAATTATATTATCCAAAAAAGTCAAATAAAATGAGAGCCCTCTTTCTTAAGTAAACTTTAGCTTCTTTTACATTTTTTATTAGCAAAAAGCATTAATGGCTCAGCAGCATCAAAAAAATTGCATTTTTGTAAAATAGCATAAGCTACATAAAAAATATAAAATATAACAACAAAGTTGAGCAAAAATGAAGTCTTACCTTAAAAGAAGTGCAAAATGGCTCAAAGGAGCTAGCTTATGAACATAAGCAGCAGTTACAGAAATACAACCCCTGTACTTAGAAACCTGTGCTTCTTCAAATAAAGTGGCAAGAGGAATTGAAACATAAAAGGTAGTAAAAAATAACAACAATACAATAATAGTATTAAAGTTTAAATTATCCTATATTTTCCTCACAACAAATGATGCCAGAATGGTTAAATTATTTTACATAGTCAGTAAACAAAAGATAAGTAAAAAAGTGAACAAATATATGTCAGGGTAAGTGCAAATAAGCGATTTCAGGATAAGATGAAAAAAACAATTAATCTTCCCCTTCATCGCTACATCTCTTTAGAGATTTTTGGCCAGGAAAACCAACATGTCAACCCTTGCTGGCTTCAGACTTGCA